GTTGTCTTCTTTTCTTCCAAAATAAAAACAGCAGTCTTAAGCATGCCTTTTCCATATGTGTTTAAAATAATATTCAGCTAGCATGAATGGAGGCAGATACAATGAGGTCTGGGAACTTGGGTTGAATAATAATGGTATAGATGTGATCACAAGTTCATGTGAAACTGATAATGTAGATGGAGGCTAATCATATTTGAACATGGAAAATTAGGCTTGTTGATAAGAGGGAAGGGACAGTGGGACAGAGTAACTGGTGAATGAATACAAAGACATAGCCATGTTAATGTGAAGTCGAAGGCTTTCACAGCCAGCATCCATAATTCTTCAGAGATGCTAGCCACAGCTGTTGGTGAAACATCGGGAATAAACTCTTCCAGAACATGGCCACATAGCCCAAAATCCCACAAAATCTATAGCTATGTTAGTCTGGAAAATCAATATGAAAAGTGATCTTGTAGCATTTTTGAAACTAACTGAAAGACTGACTGAAAGAAAGGACTGGTAGCATGAGCTTTTGTAGACTTGCATGCATCTGAAGAATTATTAGACTCAAGTCTATGAAAGGTCATGCTACCAGCTTCTTCCTTCCAGTTAGTCTCCAAGGTGCTACAAGATCCCTTTGCATATTGAAGAATAAATAGAGAACTAGGTTTGGAAGAGATCTTAAATGTTTGGGAGATAGTTCCAAAGTATGTAGAAAGCTGAAAGGTGAATTGCAGAATATATTGCAGAAGTATATGGGAGAATGGAGTCTATAAGTGAAGCTAAAATTTGGAATAGTGAATAGGACATATGGGGGAATGTGGGAGAAAATAAAGGTTGTCTTTTGGGAAGCCTTTGTAGAATATAACAAAAGGTCTTTACAGACTGCCAGAAATAGTGCAGCTTGAAGCCACTTTAACTGTCCTGGCTCAGTGCTAGGGAATCATGGGAATTGTATTTTTTTCTGGAACATTGAGCCTTCTCTGTCAGAGAGCTCTGGTGCCACAATAAACTACAGTTCCTATGATTCCTTAGCATTGAGCCAGGACAGTTAAAGGGCCTTTGCAGACTGCCAGAAATAGTGCAGATTGAGTCCACTTTAAGGGTTAGGGTTAGTGCTAGGGAATCATGGGAATTGTTTTTTTTTCTGAGATATTGAGCCTTCTCTGTCAGAGAGCTCTGGTGCCTCAATAAAATACAGTTCCCATGATTCCCTAACTCTAACCCTAACCCTAACCCTTAAAGTGGACTCAATTTGCACTATTTCTAGCAGTCTGCAAAGGCCGTTTGTTGGCCATACCATCATTGTTGATGATAAAAAAGTGTCAAGACGGATCTCTTCCGGCAGGCCTTTCCTGATTAATTTCCCAGCCAGGAGTGAGTTACTCTTTCCCCCCACCTGCTGCCACATTCAGCCACTTTCATTTATTGCTAGCGGTCTGCCTGCTAGACTGCTCTCTTTTATTCTTTTATTGTCTATTATTTATTGTAAACTGTTAATTTTGTTTTAACTGTTTCTTTTCATGTTTAATACTATTTTAAGGGAAGGGTGGATGTGGGAGGTATTTTGTGATATTTTGTCGATGTAAGCCACTCCAATTGCTTCGGTAGAGGGGCGGGATAGAAATAAAATTTTAATATATTATATATATTATAAAAAGTTTAACTTGAGTTTTAATTTTTCAACCATATTTTCAAAAGTTTTATATTGCAAGGAAATGGAAGCGAATATGTATAGCAGCTTGTCACTGCTTTTTCCCCCCAAGGTTTTTCAATATCTCATGTCAAATATTAATGTTTGTTCCAGGGATGTGGGCTCATTCACTAACTGTTCAAGATTATCAAGACCTTATAGACAGAGGATGGCGAAGGTAGGAGATGTCTTCTGAGAACCACTGGTTTAACTGAATGTGGTATTTAAGCACTATTGTTAAATTTTAAATAGATGACTTATTGTTTTTAAAAAGTTCATGAATTTCTTACTGGACCACTGGAAAATGGAAATAGAAAATATCTCCAGTAATGCTAGCTTTTGCTTCTTGAATCTTGGATTCTCAGTGGTCATCATTGTTCTTTTGACTATTATTTCATGTAGCATAGTGTTGCTTCTTGTGATCAGCAGCAGTAGCTTTGAATGTCTGCCAAACCTTGCTACCGAAGAATATCTGTAACCAAAAATGTCAGAGTTTAAAACTGGGGCCTTGCACATGAAGTCTTCCTATGAGCTATAGCCTGCCCTGTAAACCACAATTTCTAATTTGAAACATAGTGACAAGATAAAGCTTTTTATAACTCATACCCTTATTGAAATTGTAGTTTGCCAACTCTTAGAAAATGTATGCTATCTAAGCTAAAATAAGATAACATGCAACTTTCCATGAAAGAGCATTTGCTTTTGATTTGTACATTCACTTATCCTAGACAAATGTCAAGTATTGCTTCTGGGGGAAATTGGATCTTTCATGCATAATGGGGCAGGATCATAGATTGACACAATGGGACACCTCCAGCCTGGCAGTGGCATTCCCACAGCTACCCTGAGCGAAAAGTGTGATGGGTGAAAGAAGTTTCCCCAAAGAACTATTGCTCACTGTTGACATAATTTTCAGGAAATGGGAGCTTACTCACAGAGGGTGTTGGAGTTGATTAGGGTCCCTTGCCACAAATGAATTCAATTCCAAATAGACAACAGCAATGCAGAAAGGAGTACAATGCCATTTGTTTTTGCTTTGGTATAGTACAGTGATTCCCAAACATTGGTCCTTTGGATGTTGTGAACTTCAGCTCCCAGAATTCCTGACTATTGGCTGAGGCTTCTGAGAGCTGAAATTCAAAACACCTGAGGACCAAGGTTTGAGAACTACTGGTATAGTAGTATATGACCGTGCAGTAATTCTTCCATTCTCTTAGGAGGTTTCCCATTCATGAATAGGAAGCAAACTCTTTCCATTCTCTATCTAAATAGGTAACAAAGGGCCTGAACAGACTGCCAGAAATAATCCAGCTTGACACCACTTTAACTGTCCTGGCTCAATGCTAGGGAGTCATAGGAATTGTAGTTTTTTTCTGAGACATTGAGCCTTCTCTGTCAGAGAGCTCTGGTGCCACAATAAACTACAGTTCCCATGATTCCCTAGCACTGAGCTAGGGCAGTTAATGTGGTCTCAAGCTGGAATATTTCTGGCAGTCTGTTCAGGCCCAAACTTGGACTGGCATCCTCTTGGGAATTTATGATGCCATAAACCATCTTACAGTTGTGTAGTTTACAACTGGCATTGCTCAGTTGTTATATTCCCAGGAGGGGAATGTTGTTGTGGCTGCACCATTGGGACAGTTGCACAAGCAGAGTGAGCTGTATGACCATTATGAAATGGTTGTACAGTAAAACAATATGGCACTTGGGGTGACAGGTTGCCATTATCCAATGACAGTGCAAGGAGAGAGAGAGCAGCCCTCAACAGAGCCCCAGGGCACTGACAATCCAGAATGGCAGGCAGTGGAAAGTTATGGGTACCCTGTCCCTGGCCAGAAAAAATGTCCTCACCTTTTGCAGTGTTCTGTTGTGTGATGGTAGCCCCTTTTGTGCAATGGGACAACATGCTCAGTTCCATGTTGTACATTGTCGCAGTTCTTTAATGTGGCTGTGTATTGTGTCAATTACATATCTCCATCATTTTAAAATTGCACATCATGTCTATGATACAGAATCATATGCTTCATTTTCTTTTACTAGGATGAGTACCCTGTTGCTTTGTCTAAATTAAGTCACCAACAGAAGTCTTTGTCTGAAAGTCAATTTGGTTTGTTTTACCATTTTAAAAAGAACTGAAATAAGACAGTATCATTTTAGGAGTGTGGCATTTTAGCATACTGAAAAATTGAATTGGTTGGTTAAATGTGGCTGCATTTTCCTTTCTAATACAGGAATTTATAACATTTTTAGTATAAGATTATTCTAAAAATACATAAAAACCTATTTTAAGTAGATTTTTTTTAAATAATCTTCTAGGAGTGGAAAATATGTTTACAAGCCCACTATGAACCAGACGTGTTGTCCTCAGTATACAATAAGGTAAGGACTTACTATGTACAATAATTCTTTTCTCTCCTTTCCAGTTGTACAGAAAATCTCAAAAGGCTATTTGGTATAAATGTTAAAAGTAGGAGGGGGATGATAGTTGGCCATATCACTGTATTTCAGTCACCAGTTTGGAGAATTTACTTCTTTGGACTATAACGTTCAGAGTCTTCCAGCCAGTCATGCTTTCTGTGGGATTCTGGGAGTTGTAGTTCAAAAAAGTAATTTTTCTAAACTTTTAACATTAATCTCTCTTGAAAATTATTATGGGGATTACATACATAAAAATCGTAAGTAAGACCTCAAGGTTACTAGCCTGCAAAGTTCTGTGTTTTTTGTTTTTGTTTTACTGAGGCCTGGTCAAGGAGTGATGGAAACTCTGTTCCTCCTCTGACAGTTCTCTGCATTTCTGTCCTGGATTCATGGAAGGGGCTGCTCAGATTTTGTGTTGGGCACAGAGAAGATAGAGAGCAATCTGTATCTTCTCCTTCAGCTCACTCATTCAGATGCATGCAGTTCCTTGTTACCTATGGATGCCTATTGAATGCTTAAATACATGGCTACTTTATGCATATAGCATTTTTATTTGCATCATAGTATGTAAAGAATGTTAAATAATGAAGAGTACTACAGAAATATTTATCATACTGTTACAGTACTGTAGACTTTAAAGTTCTGCATGATCCATTGAATTTTAGTTTCTTGGCGTATGCAGGCTTTATAATTCCAGATATTTCACAGAAACACCAAAATGTCACGAGTACTACATTCTGTATTACTGTTAATACAGAACAATACTAAGCTGTATGAACAACATTAGGTTTTACAGTACTTTTAACTACTATTAATAGTAATAATAGTGGTAGTAGTAAGAGTAGTGCTGCCATGAATCCCATCTTGGGAGAAAGGTGGGACATAAATTCAATAAATAAACAGTAGAGCCAGTATAATGTAGTGGTTTCAGTGCTGGACTAGAACTCCAGGAGACCAGGGTTCAAATCCCTGCTCAGCCATGGAAACACATTGCTCAGCCTCAGGAAAGCTGTTGCAAGCTGCTTTTGAACAAATCTTGCCAAGTTGGCGAATAAGTTGGAAATGACCTGATGACATATAAAAACACAACTATTAATAGTAAACCTTAACGTTATTCATATAGTCTAGACTTGATGACAAGTTAATGTAGTACAAATCAAATCCACTCTTAATATACAGTATTAACTGGAGATGACTGCATTACTGTTTTTTGCTTTGTTTTTTTTTTTCTAGATGCCGAGCTTTACATTTTCAGCCTTCTAAATCTCATAAGAAAGTTTTAAAGAAGATGCTGAAATTTCTAACAAAAGGAGAGCTTGCTAAATTAGATAGTGAAGGTAAAAAGTGGCCATTAAAAGTAGTTGCTGCTGTATTCTGCATTTTTAAATTCGAGACTGAAATTAGTGGGTCAACTGTGGCTGCATCTACACTGCAGAAATAATCTGGTTTGACACTACTTTAACTTCCATAGCTCAGTACTATGGAATTCTGAAAAATGTAGTCTGTTGTGGCACCAGAGCTCTGCTGCAACAGAAATATGATACAGTGGCCCTCGGTATCCACGGACTTGCCATCCTCGGATTTAAGCATCCACGGACAGCAAGCTTGCCTTGTTCCCAATGGCAGTGTGAGCACACCATTAGGGAGAATGAGACTTCACGTAGGGCTTGGTGGGCTCCAGAGGCAATCTGGGTGCTGGGCTTCCCCACTTTCCAGAAGCCTGGAGAAGAAAGGTGGAGAAAAAGGAGGGAGGGATGGTGGCCTGTTGGCCTCAAGGCAGGTGGCTCCAGAATGAGCAGGCGCAGAGCATAGTGGACAGCAGAGCCCAGGCAGCATTCAGAGTGAGTGAGCGCTGCTTCTCCTCAGCACGGGTGCCCACTGGCCCGTCTGCCTTGGCCAGGACCCTGGCCTGGTGCTGCCCTCTGGCCTGGCAGGGGGAGTGGGGGGTGAGGGGGGCAGACAGAAGGAGTGCCCTCCCCTCACTGAGCAAGAGGGGCTGTTCTTCCTCTCCCCCTCATCCTCTTTCAGACTGGGCAGGATCTGGACTGGGCTGATCAGTTGGTTACTCACCCCCACTGGCCGGCTGTCCATGAATCCTGCTCCCCAGATGGACAGAAAGAGACGCCCTTCCCCTCTTCCTTCCTTCCCTCCTGTGAAGAGGCGAGTGGAGTCCCCACAGTTCTTCTTCCCTCCCTCCTTCCTCCCATCGCTCTTGCCTTCCTTTTCTCCTCCTCCTCTGCCTCTGCTTCTGCCTCGCTGAGGAAGAGGACCAGAGACCCCCCTTCCCTTTCCTGGCCTGGGGATCTCTTCTCTCTCCCTCCCTCCTTCACCTGTGGCTCCTTCCCAGATGTGGCGGTGCTGCTGCAGCGGGGCATCCCATTGGTGCTGGAGCGGCTCCTGGGTGAGGGAGGACACGGAATGTCCAGGACACGCTTCTCCAGTCAGGACATGCCCCTTTTTGCTCTGCCCAGGAGGGAACTTGAGCATCCATGGATTTTGGTATCTGTGCGGGGGTCTGGAACGAATCCCCGCAGATACTGAGGGCCAACTGTATATATTTTCTAAGAGTACCTTTAAAAATATTTTGATAGGATTTGGAATATTTTTGGTAATGTAAAGTCCTTCAGGAGTAATTTTGGATTAATAATCCTTCAGATTAATTAATGTAAAGTCCTTCAGGATTTTCAGTTTACCTCTATAAAGTGGACATTATGCTAGCCTTATATACCTTATTTGCTTGAAATAGTAGTTGAGAAATCATATTACTTGTGTTAAGGGTCACATTAAAGTAGAATGATCAGCTGATTTTTACCAACCACTTTTCCAAAGTTCAGCTATATAAAAATTATGAGCTCATCCTTATATCCATGGTTATAGTTGTATACTTATTTTGATTGGTTTTAATATAAAAATTATGTTGCCCATTTCCTTTTCCTGACAATTTGTTCTTTATTTTTTATATCCAGTGGAACCCATGGATTCTCATACCAAAGATGCTGATGGCTGCAGTTTTCTGTTAAAAGATGAACCTGACACCAGCCAGTCTGAGCTAGAGCCCCTCAATATTGATTATACAGAGAAAGTAGAGAGTGAAGAAGAAATAAAAGGCATAATAAGTGTAAAGAAAGTAGACATTGAACATATGGAATCTTGTAATGAGAAAATTCATGCCAACTCCAGCAAGCCATTGCAGTCAGCTAAAAAAGTTGGTCATACAACTCCCAAGCCAGGTAACCCCATTATGGTATAAGATAAACAGTGAAGCAAGTGTTTCATGTAGTTTTGTTCCTTTGCATTCTGATACATCTCTTTTAAGGTTTGTATGTACAGGTTTATGGATTTTAAGTTATCAGCAGTCCAATACACTGAAAGCATTAATCAGGTAATTATCAGATAAATCTTTTTGAATCTGATCTGTTGGCATTAGTTTCAGATGAATGGATATAAGAAGCTGAACATGAGTTTATACCAGTTTCACTAATATTTTGCATTTGTCTTGGCACAGTGGTTACTAAGAGGAACTAGTAGAGAAGTAAAGCTAGTTCTAATGTTGCAAGGTTTTCAAGATAGTAATAAGGGAAGGTTGAGCTTCATAGCATGCAGGGTTGGCAAGTAGCAAAACAAGTTTATGTTCTATGTAAATACCAAAATAAAAGTATTTATTTCAGTTAACCTAGCCATGAATTTCTCTGTAAAATTAACATATTGCCCACATTCATAAACTACATGATGTCTACATTTTAATACACAGCCCGGTGTACAGGATTTGTGTGTGTGTGTGTGTGTGTGTGTATCTTGTATCTACGGTATGTAAAACTTTTTAACTCTCAGTTATGGGACTTCCATTATAATAAAGGATACCTGCTAGTCCTATAAGGGACAAATTTTCTACTCTTCAAATAAGGGATGTCGTTTATAATAAAGCACACCTGGAAATCCTAGCTGGTTCCCTTTAAGCAATCATAGAAAGCAAATTATATCCTTCCAGCCTCTCCATTCTTTTGGTGCGGCTGTTTTGTTTAGCTGCAGTAAATGGTACTGATAATGGCTGTTAAAGAGGTGTACCTACAAGAGCTTGGGATATTGTTTAAAGAAGTAGTTAATTACAGTGACTGTTCTCAAGCTACCCAAATTGGTTAGTTATTTTTCTAAGCAGAGTTTTTACAAAGTAACTTGTTGCTCTCCTGTTTCTCAAACATAGCTAAAATTGGATTTGAAAATTTACCTGTGCTCGGTTTTGGAGTGCTGTGTACATTTTTAATACTTGCTCTTGAGCTGGTGACATGCTCTACATTTTGATCCTCTGGATCAAATGTCTTTTGTGTATAGAAACAGACCTTTCATTTGCAGGGTACAAAATGGGATTCCACCTTATGTATTTGGGGAAAGTACACTTCTATAGTGTTCCCATTTTTTTAAAAAAAAATGTATCTGTGAAAATGGAGCATCGATGGTTATATCCTAAAAAATGAGAAAGAGATAGAAAATGACCTTAATAATGGCACTTGGTTTATTTACCAGGCAGACCAAACTCAGAAGCTCCATTTCAAGGAAAGGAATGTCCTCTGCCTTTTGTCACCTGTGACCCTCAAATCATTCTTCAACTGTGAAGTGAATTTCAGCCATAGTTTTGTCTTTCAGATTCTGAGTTCATTTTAAATTCCTAAATACCAGTATTAAACTTCTAGGAACCTGGGTTAACATGTTTCTTAGGGGTTTTGTTTTGTTTTGTTTTACATTTTTTTTGGCTTCTAGCTAAATGAAAGTGAAATTACTTCAGTTGTCCTGTGACTTAGCTAGTGTAGTCTGGCTTCTATCAGTCCCTGAAGGTTTTTGTTTCTTTTCAGGAAGATATTATTGTTTTATTTTTTAATCCATTAGACTCTATATAAAATATAAAAGCTTGGATTCTAAAATCCTTAGATTAAATTTACAGAAGGAGCATTGCTCCCTTTTTTTTGGCCTTCCTTTTTACACCCAGCCCCCATTTGTTGAAGAGAGCCCCCTGATCCCAGAAAGGATGGAGTGGGGAGTCACAGATGACTAGAGGCAGATAACTTTCCTTTCTTCAATTTCCTTATCCTGACTTACCTTGGGATCTAGCGCATAATAATTTTAACAATTTTCGCATCCATTGTGATCCTCTTTAGAGTATAGAATGAATTACTATGACTGTTTGCAAAACACATGCTTTCTTTATTAAATATGTACATGTTGCTATTCTAGGCAATGGAGCAGACTTGAGTAAACCACCCTGCCGTAAAGCCAAAGACATACGGAGGGAACACAAATTGCAAAAGAGTCTTCAGAACAAAACACAGAATCCTGCAGTTCAAGAAGAGACTCAGAATTTGCATGGCCAAAGCTCTAAAACTAAAACAAACCAGCCGAAATCAATTGAAGATTTCATTTTTGCTAACTTGCCTTCTGAAGCTTTGCACCAGTTAGAGGTACTACGATATTATAGCACTTAGCATATTATTCCTGTATTCTTGTTAATTTTTAAGGCAGTTGGCTGATCAGATATGCAGTTTTAAACACAAAAAACGATAGAGACTGATTGTGTCAGAAAAGTATTGAGGTCTGTTATTGGTATTTGCAGAAATCTTGTGTTTTACAATTTATTTTCATAGAGTACAATTTATTTTCATAGAGCCCTCCTTATACATGGATTTTTTTATCCATGGATTCAAGCATCCACAGCTTGAAAATATTCCAAAAAAGTATAGATTATAAATAGCAAACCTTGGTTTTCCATTTTATATAAGGGATAGCATTTTACTATGCTATTGTTATTTAATGGGACTTGAGCATCCACGGATTTTGTTATCCATGGGGGGTCCCTGAACCAAACCCCAGGGGATAAACAAGGGCCCACTGTATCTTTGTTTCAAAGGTTAGTGAATATGTTCTTTCCAGAAACACAAGAGGGTGCTGTGGTTCCATATAAAATGGCATAACATACTTACAAAACAAATAT